TAATTTTGCGGAATGTAATGCGACATGTAAACACTGATTACAACAAAGACTCGATATATATTCAAACACATATACAACCGAACAAACACACAAATGTTATCTACTACATGGTGTATGTGGATTAATGTTACACACTAAATGTAATATGCAACATAACACGATCATCCAGGTTCCAATGTACAATTTCCATCCTACGACGTGGTTCACATTTGACATCCAATTAACAATTGGAAAATCCAAAAACCAAATACCGCCAACCCAACCCTTGAACCCATACACACCACCCCACACATTGAACATATCAAAACGCATCAACCATTACAATGTCAAATACACACATTCAATCAGAACATTAGCCAAAGTGTGCCTATCAATGAGTGTAATAGATAGTCAATGTCCTATTAGTTAAGATGAAGGTGAAAGATGAACAAACAGAAACACACTTCAACAATAAATAAATAAATAAATAAATAAAATTCCTTTTCCCCTCAATCGATTGGAGTCAAAATTTGACGAAGGAATCAATTCACAACCCTCAAACTTCATCATATCATCGATCATATCTACATCATTTTGAAAATGCACTGGAATTTTGCGATCAAAGCGAAAAAAACTCTCACGGTCGTTGCCTCTAGACTTGTCTTTCCTAAAAGCCTTCCCAAATGTGATATGGTGAATGAGAAAACAAAGTACAATATGAAAACAAATTAGGGGTATAATAGTACACTAATATTATTAATTTACAACTCATAGGACCTTATGAAAGATATTGCTATTTAAATAGGCCTTCAAACTCTATAAGAATTTTCATTGGATTTCACATTAAATAAGTCTTCCAAATAGGACTTATAAATAATTTTCCCTTATTATTATTATTTAATATTAATAATTTTTTTTTTCGAAAAAGAATACACAAAAAATTATTTTCTAAGTGTATTTAGATCAAGTGAATTTAAATTTAAAAGTAAAATTACAAAATAAAAAATTATTAAATTAAGTGAATCTAAAAAGAAATTAAAAAGGTTATTAAAAAAAAAACAATGTCAAAGACAAAAAACATGAAAACCAAAAAATTTAGGAATCATTGTAACATTCAATATATCAATCAATAATACAATTTATTCTCTTTCTCTCTCTATCAACCCACTACACCACTACCACCTCCACTTTACCTACTCCATTTACCACCTATTACCACCTACTCTTCTATATATAGGAATCATTGTAACATTCAATATATCAATCAATAATACAATTTATTCTCTTTCTCTCTCTATCAACCCACTACACCACTACCACCTCCACTTTACCTACTCCATTTACCACCTATTACCACCTACTCTTCTATATATAGGAATCATTGTAACATTCAATATATCAATCAATAATACAATTTATTCTCTTTCTCTCTCTATCAATATTTCTTACAATAAACTTCTCTTTTTTCAAATTTTTCTTCACTAATCTTTAATTTTACACATTATTTACAAATTCCTTTCAATTTTTATGTGAATCTAATAATTTAATTAAAAAATGGTGCATACACACAAAAATGTAACACTAAACATCTATATTATGACTAACTATTTAATTGTGAATAATTAACTTCTTATCGTTACTTGTATTATATTGTTACAAAAGATTTCACATATTATTTTTGTGATATTTTATATATGTCATATATAAATATATAAATATAAATTTATGTGTTACTATATTCATACATTGTCAATCTGTAATGCTATATTATTATTGAATATTTTAATTTTCTAACATGTATCACTTTAGCAAAATAGTTATATTTGATAGGAAAAAATTGTAATTGTTCTCCTATCAATTTATGTTTAATATATATATACATACATGTCATACAAACAAGTGTCCACGACAAACACTTTCAATAACAAATTAAGACTTTGCAAAACTCCTCTATCACGACAATAATTGTACTTTTTTTCCCCTCATAGAAAAAATCACATTATTGTGGAAAAATGGATTTTGAAATTCATAACAATATGATATTGTCTCGAACTCTTACTCATGAAAATATTTTTATTACAATGAGTTACAATGATGAGCAAGAAGAAAAACAAGGAGATGGCGAAACAAAAACTATAGAAGATCTATTGTAACATTGCTCTCCAAGAAAAGTTAGGCGAGCTAAAGCAAGAATTGTTCTATCTGTTGTGAAGTTTAAGAAAAACAATGTATCTCATGCACATATTGTTAAAATTCACCTACTCTCCACCTACTTCACCCACTTAAACCTACTCCACTAAACCTAACCCACTACACCACTACCACCTCACCTACTCCACTAAACCTAACCCACTACACCACTACCACCTCCACTTCACCTACTCCTTACCTACTACACACTCACCCTCTTCTATATATAGGAATCATGAATCATTGTAATAGACATCAATATACATCAATCAATAATACAATCATTTCTCTTTATACATTAAATTTCTACACATATTTTAGTTAAATTACAAGGAAAAAATAAATGATGTCTAAATAAATGATGTAGAAAGTAAGTATATCAAATAAAAAGGTTTCGATAAATTTTTGTCATGTATTGATTATTTATAGATGACATAATAAATCATGTAACTTGAGAATTTTATGAAAGTGACCCTGGAAGCACTTATAAGCATGGATCTATAAACATTATGAAAACAATTATGAAATTCTTATATCGATCGAAATATTAAGCTAAAATATTATTTCATTTTTTTTAAAAACTATTTCACATTTTCTACATAAATGAATATATACTAATAACTAATGTTATATTTTTCATCATGCAAGATATTTGTGGCACAGGAAACGAGACTCAACAGCTCTTGATGTATAAAAATATATTACATATTGATATTAATGCATTCTTACACCAATAGTATGCAAATAATATACAATATTTGGTTCAATGAATTTGTATTATGAGATGAACTATTCAACAAAATTGTGTAATTGTGCAATTAATTTCATACCTTCAAGTGTATTACAGGTACGGATTATGAAAAATTGAAGTAAGAAGTTGATAGAAAAAGATTTGTGTAATACTATATATTTAAAGGACATGTTTATTGTTTAAGATAAGATTGTGATCTTAATAATTTAGCTATAAATTAATGTATATGTGTTAAAATTTATCACCTACTTCACCCACTTGAACCTACTCCACTAAACCTAACCCACTACACCCACTTAAACCTACTCCACTAAACCTAACCCACTACACCACTACCACCTCACCTACTCCACTAAACCTAACCCACTACACCACTACCACCTCCTCTCCACCTACTACTCCACCTACTACATACCTACCTCCTTTAAATCTTCTATATATAGGACTCATTGTAAACACAAAATACAATAATCAATAATACAATCAATATCTATACAATTCTCTATTTCTCTTTATACATTAAATTTTTCTACAATATGTTTATAAAATTTCTCATTTATCATTTAAATTCTTCAACCGAGTATATTCATTTCTTGCTTAGTTGTATTTTGGATACATATCAATTTATCCATACAAGTCTTCATATTTTGTATATATATCACATACCAATTTAAGAGACACGCATAATTACAGTATTAATAGTTGATAAAAAATCACATGTCATGTGCAATGTACGTGCCCAACCACTAGTCTTCCCAAAAGTCCAAATTGATCACCTCACTCACCTTTTCCCACAATAAGAATGCAGCTTGAAATGGATGGATGTTTATGCTTTCAGTTTAGGTGACTTCTGATAAATTGAAATGACATATCGGTATTCATGTTTCTTGACTTTGCAAAAGGAGGTTTTTGTACTTCCCTTCTAATTATCATGCACAAGAAGTGTATAAATCCAAACCAAATCAAGCCTTAAGTCCCATCAAATGGGGTTGATTACATGAATCTTTCTTCTCCACGTAGCCCTATCAAAGGCCATTTCATTAGTCAAATTAAGTAGATTCATATCTCTATTTGCAACGCTAACCAACGTTAATCTAGGCCTACCCCGTCCCCTAATACTTTCATCTACTGTTACAACATCGCATCTCTTTACTACTGCCTTTGTTGGTCTCCGTTGAATATGACCAAATCATCTCAATCAATTCTCTCTCAACTTATCTTCTATCGGTGCTATTCCTACCTATTTCTGAATACACTCATTTCTAATTCTATAGAATGCAGCTTGAAATGGATGGATGTTTATGCTTTCAGTTTAGGTGACTTCTGATAAATTGAAATGACATATCGGTATTCATGTTTCTTGACTTTGCAAAAGGAGGTTTTTGTACTTCCCTTCTAATTATCATGCACAAGAAGTGTATAAATCCAAACCAAATCAAGCCTTAAGTCCCATCAAATGGGGTTGATTACATGAATCTTTCTTCTCCACGTAGCCCTATCAAAGGCCATTTCATTAGTCAAATTAAGTAGATTCATATCTCTATTTGCAACGCTAGCCAACGTTAATCTAGGCCTACCCCGTCCCCTAATACTTCCATCTACTGTTACAACATCGCATCTCTTTACTACTGCCTCTGTTGGTCTCCGTTGAATATGACCAAACCATCTCAATCAATTCTCTCTCAACTTATCTTCTATCGGTGCTACTCCTACCTATGTCTGAATACACTCATTTCTAATTCTATCTTGTCTAGTCTTATCACACATTCACCTTAGCATCCTCATACAAGAAGTGTATAAATATTCTTTGAAAAAGTGTCATATTCTTTTAGATTTTTATTATGGCATAGAAAACCAATTCTCTATAAGATTAGTACCGACACTCGCATCATATAGGATTGTGTTGGCATTTAAATAGGTTGTTATTGGATTACATTATTTTATCTTTGTAATAACTTTGCTGCTAGTTCTTCATCACATAAAAGTTTGTGATTTATTTGCTACTTCTATCAATTTCAACTGTTACTTGTATTTAGGCTTCTTTTATTTTATTTTTATACTAGTTACATTTCTGATATAGTTACTGCGAATGCTTTGCTGCTGGTCTCTATTGTGTTGAGCCTTGTTCATGTCAAGATTGCTTTAACAAGCCAACTTATGAAGACACTGTTCTGGAAACGCGCAAACAGATTGAATCTCGCAATCCACTTGCATTTGCTCCTAAAGTGATTATGAGCTCTGAACCATTTCCGGAGTTTGGGGTAACAATTTATCAAGATCTAAGAATGAAGACAATTTTTAAGTATTTTAAATCATGTACACATTTACGAGGATAAAACAAATTTCATGCTCACACTGTTTTTTTCAATCCAGGATGAAACTAACAAAACTCCATCTTCGGCTCGACATAAAAGAGGATGTAACTGTAAAAAATCCAGTTGCCTGAAAAAATACTGTGAATGCTTTCAGGTTTTCTTCCTTTTTGCTCATTTTGTATTCTTCATATATTCTTCTAAGTTTCTGTAAACTGATGTGGACATTGTCATTTGTGTTGAAAAAGGGTGGTGTTGGATGCTCTATTGGCTGCAGATGTGAAGGATGTAAAAATCCTTTTGGTTGCAAGTATGGTGAGTATTTACTAGATGCTTCCAAGGGTCCATTGACGATTTTAGAAAAGTATAAAATTTATATTTATCTTGCCATTTTCAAGTATGAAATTCCTTAAACTAGTTTCTTGCAAATATGTTATTATCATATGTTACATGGACTTGGGTACGAGTATCAGTGTGGGTGCAAGTCCAAGTGTCAAACCTTCCTAAACTTAAATTTTAGGATATTGAGATGTGTTAAAAAAAAATGGGAATGGATATGTGGACATGTCCTCAAAATTTGTATCTATTGCATATTTTATAATATTCTTAGATAATATGATGCAAATTATTTAGGAATGTATACAAAATTAAATAAGATTTAGAAAATTTATGAAACTTCTCATCCTTGTCAGAGGCAGAAATATGACTTCACTACCAAATATGAGTTTCTTTCTCTTCAACCATCATATTAAATTAGAGGATGCAAGTATTTAAATTAGGTACAGGTGTTGGATACATATCTCATATCCTTATTCTTGTTATATCCGGTGGACAAGGGTACTACACTATTCATGATGGTATTAGCAACAACATTTAGACATTTTTCCATGCTAAGTTATTTCTTTACCCATATATGTTATGTGTCTCATTGTTCGGACGAGCATCTTTATTTGCATATGGGGACAAACTTTTTGATTATTTTTTTATTAAATAGTTCTCTTTTTCCCCTGCATCTTCTTTCTCTTTACCTCATTTAGTAGTGCATGCACTTTCGTTGTCCTTGATTTTGCGTTCTTCTGATCCTTTAGGAACTGAAGAAACTGAACTTGAAATGGAAGAAACAGATACTTCTGAAGTTAATGCATCAGATATAAGTTTACAGAACAATGTAGTCCAGAAGGCTGAAGAGAAGTTAGATCGTGTTCTTCCGTTACCACATTCATATGAGATTAGCAGGTGTTCTATTTCACTAATTTTTGGTATGAAACGAATACCGTGCTTTATGTTTAGAAACGTCTTTAAATCTTGATGTTTATTTCATTTCTTAGATCCCTTGTTCGACTGCCCTCTTTCTTTAGTGGCAAGCTTCCACAATCTTCTCTATTTGGTGTTCAATCATCTCCTCACATTTGCACCAGCAAAAAGCCTGAAAAACCAGAGTTTCTACATGGCCTGCCCAAGTTTGAAAAGCGTCTTCAGATGATACCGGAAGATGAAATTCCCGAGATTTTGCAAGACAATTGCTCACCTACTAGGGGTGTAAAATCTACATCTCCAAATTCTAAGAGGGTCTCTCCTCATCTCAAGCTCGGAAGTGGCAGGAAGTTGATTCTAAGATCTATCCCAGCGTTCCCATCTCTCACTCCTCAAAATGAAAACATTAAATTTTCAGGACAATCAAGTTGAAGTGCTCCAAATTTTCACCAGGGTGTTAAGGTAAGTTCTTTAGTTCAAGCCTATCCAGAGAAGTGGCTGAAGTTGATTCTAAGATCTATCCCCATCATTCCCATCTCACTCCTCAATGTGATAACATCAATTTTCCAGGACAACTGAGTTGAAATGTCCCAAATTTTCATCACGTTGTTAAGGTATGTTGTTCAGTAGCATTTGTAGTTTTAGCCTATCCGAAATAAATTGTGTTAACAATTCTATCACCTGTGAAGACTTTCTATCACCTTTCTGTTTTTGAATAGTTGAGTAGTGAGTTATGTTCTGTTGTACAAGTAAATTGAGTTGGGAATTCGAGTAGTGTTGTGTTTTCCAATCAATTGTAGTTGGCAACTACCTGGTAAAACAAATAATGTATTATATTGCAAATCTTTTTTCATGCCTGTTATATATTTTTAACTTGTGCTTTTGGGTTCAACATCTAAACAGCCAGACATTACAGATTCGGCTGACTCTTTTAAGTGTCAAATTCCTCAGAGGAGATGTTTGCTTCATTTGTGCATCTATTGAGGTATTGCGCGGACTACACGTGGTGAGTGGCTTTTCTAAGGGGCTGTTTGGTATAACTGCAAATGTTAAATTTCAAATGTTTAAACATTGAGTTAGAAGTCAATACACCAACAAAACAAGTTGAGGATTAGTTTATAAATCATGTTTCTTTGAATTAAAATTGTGTTCCTGTTGATTGTGCATCATTGAACATACTTCATGGAAAATCTACTGAAATTATTTTAATGTAAGTACTTAAAAGGGTTAGCAAATGATGAATGTTTATGATTTTTCCAAATTTTTTACCAAATTAATTTTAATTTTAAAATTTTTCTTTCAAAAAATTTATTTTAAAAACCAGCCCAAACATATCCGTATGAAATATAATTTTAAAATTTTGATTACCACTCTTTGGTGTATTCTAAAAGGCGACTTCTTTCAAAAGAACCATTCCATTTTTTATTTTTTTTCCCCAGTAAGTCTACCAAACAAATTTCAGAAAACAAAAACAATAAATAGAAAAATGAAATACATCAATCAGGCTTTTCAATAGCTGTTATTGTATTTCTGTTCTTTTTCCTTTCCCGTTTTCTTCACAATGATAAGAATTGACCAAAGTTTCTTTTTACCTATGCCGTTTAAAATGCAGTAAATAATTAAGGGTTATTTATACTAGAACTTCTTCAACTATTAACAAATATTACTTTATTATCACTTCATCTATGAATTTTGTACATTTGACCCTCTCAATTATAAAAATATATCAATTTTACCTCTTGCAAACCACCTTCAAAAGGGATGCATTTGTATATTTTCATAGTTGAGATCAATATGTACAGATTATAGATGCGAGATAAAATGATATTTGTTAATAGTTAGTGAAGTCTTAGTGTAATTAACCCAATAATTAAATGAGACTGTAAGGCTCTTGAAAATTTTAATTTCTTAAAAGTCCCTTACTTTTAAATTATTTTCTTGAAGTCTCTCAGTTTCTTAATTAATTGCAACCCTAGGATCAAAATACATGTGCCAACAAAAAATTGTAAACCCTAATCGATTTCAGAAACTTAGAAATAATTTCTAATACTTTAATTGACTCCTTAAATATGAAATTACCACTTGGAAACCCTAGGCTTTCCGGTCTTTATCATGTTCGTCGGTTGATCGCGTTTTTTTTCAAAACAAGAAATCCAAACTGAATTAGACTCTTTAACTCCAATTTGATTTAATTTAATTCTACATTAAAATAAATGTTCCAATTCATAAATTAAACCCAATGCCCTCATTTTTTTTAAATCACATTTTGACTCCAAACTAGTACCATTACACACATATAAACATACATATATATATATATATATATATTTGTACTTTTCTTAAATAAATAATTTTATACACAAATATCTTCATATTTATATATAAAATCAACAAAAATCTCTCCAAGCATATGGCCAGCCATCACCCTCTCTAAGCTACAATCATAGGTACTTTAGGGACAAATTCCTTAAATCATGGAAAACGTATCATTGGTACCTTCAAATTAAGGAAAGTTGCCTTGTACTTGTAACTATCTTAGTTTTATTTAAGCTTAACCCTAATTAGATCATGCCTTAATACATGATTAGGCTCTCTAATGATCCTTCATTCCATTACATTCAACTAAATACATCTCAATTTCATTCCATTCCATTCCAACCAATGGGCATTTTGGACCTTTTACACCAATTTTATTATAAAAATACCACCACCCTCCACATGTTACACATCTCATACACTCACACACTTACACATTCAGTTGAGAGAAAGAAAGAAGAGGAAGAGAGTGAATTTTAGTAGTAGAGGAGAGGAAAAGAGGAGACAATTGTGCAAACACTTCACTAGGCAATCAAGTAAGCCACAACACAATTTTCTTTTTTATTTTCCTTTTTCAAATACATGCTCTTAAAAGTTTTAAACATTCATTTCAGATGTGTTTTGATGGTATTCTTGTGTTAAAAATGAAAGGAGTTGAGCCTTGATTCTACCTTTCTTGTATTTCTCGTAATCGGTATAAGACTACCTTTTCCCATATCAAACTCCCAAAATTTCCAAAGGCACACCTTCACCTTAAATTTCTAAGTTTAATACATATTATTTAGCAAGTTTTCATCACAAGATAAGTAAAAAATTTCCCTAGTTGATCTCTTTTCTCACCAACTTTCTTGTTGTAAGAATTGTGCTAGAAAAATCTATTTTACAGCCAACTTTCAAAAATTCTAGAAAAATGTATAAAAATCTTCTGGACCTCAATTTTATGTCAACATCTTTCTTAAAGAGTTATCTTTCAAGTAAAATTGGTTTCATTTAAAAAGAGAGCGGTTTGAAAAAAAATTCGATTTTCGTAACGGTTAACGAATCTGGACAGCGTTGGAGTGTTTCTTAAATAACTAAAAATCTAGAAAAGTTATTCCATTTTCGAAACATGTTCTGAAAACTAGATTAAATTCTCTACGAACCATAGGAATGCTAGGTTCGGGAAATATCTGAAATAACCCTTTTGATTTTAAATCTTTAAATGATATTAAATCTAGAAATTTAGTTTTGCATAGGTGTTTTATGCTCTTGTGTACATGAATATGCTTATTAGTTTATGATCATGTCTTGGTATGGTATTTCATGTGTTATGGTAATGTTCCTTATCTTATTCATTTTAATGATGCTCATGCTTATGTGGATATTACTATCTTGTTGAGTTTATTCTAACTTGACTTAAAACATTGATCTAAATGGAAAACTTAATTGGGATGGTATTGGGTTTTCGATCACTTGAATAATGAAGAGATGATGATGTGTTATGTATGGATTGATGGGATGTGCTCCCTAATTGGAAGTTAAGTCTTGCGCAAGCAGTTGTCGAGTAAACCCTAGAATGGAACAAAAGTATTCGGACTCTTTGTGATGGTTTGATTAGTGAGATAAGGTTGGGTCCGGATGGCACATTTAGGAAGATAAAACTTTTTTGGAAAGATTAGGTTAGATTTAGGAGATAAAACTTTTTTTTTTTGCTGTCCCTTTTGAGGCCCTGCGGTTGGCGCTACGCGATATATAACTGTTGGTAGGAATCCGAGGTTAGTTCTGCAACAAAGTAGCAAAATGGGGAGTTCCAAATAGTCCGGTGTCCAATTCTTGTGATTGGAAGGGTGAAATCTCTTTGAGGGATTTCTAGAATACTAATCACTAACATTATAACCTTTGTTATCTGTTTGAATGACATATTCCTTTCCTCTATTATTGAAATTGCTGTTATTAACTTAAATATCATGCTTTATTACTTGCTTGCTGTAAATGTGAAGGTGCATTAGATTGGGAAAAAGGAATGAGGTGTGTGCGTTTACTGGCATTCAAAGCTCATGACGTTTCATGCCAAGTATTGAAGACTATTAGACCGTCGAAGGCAAAGCTGAAACATTTGAGGACGTACGGCTACCCATGAGGATTAAAAACTAGTTTGTAAATGTGTTTTGAGATTGTAAGTGATAGATCTCATGTTGTATTTAAGACATGATTTTGTAATTTGTATATATATAACATTTATAACCTATCCTTATACCCTCTCAACTCATGTAAACCTTGTATTAATACCTTGTCAAAATCTGTCAAAAATATAACTTTACTATCTAAGGTGGTTGGACTTTGAATGGAGGCTATTTGACTCTTTTGACCTTCCTGGGATCTTGATTGGTTATTATCCAAAGGACTCATTAGTGACATTTCCTACTCTTATAACCTTAAATAAACCCTGTATTTAATGGTTACTATATTATCTGATGTTTCTGACTTTTGGGGTGTCAGAGAGACTATTGAAAGATGAATTCCCATCTCTATCAAAAAGCAAATAATATCTGGAATTTGCACAGGCAAACAAAAATAAAATAAAATTCATGGTCAATTGCTACATCAAACAAAGGCACACAAGAACCCAAAAAAAAAAACTGAAAAAAAGAGAGGAACCACCGAAGCCAAAGTGAGCACAAACAACATGAAAATTAAAACACCTTTATGAATGCATAATGAAATACATTCATAATGAAATATGCCACATCCTCGTACTAGAACAAGAACTCAAAACGACACACGAAAGAAAAAGTAAGAAAATAGTTCAAAATTCAACAAAAATGGGAAATTTTACTAAACAATAGCCCTGACCCCTTTTGATTTGGAGTGGGAGGCAATAATTAGAACTACCATTCAATAATAGGGAAATAGTTATGATGAAAGTTTTAAGCTTCTCAAGGTTGAACTGAGCAAAGAAAGCTTGTTGGGAGCGGTCTGCTTGTAGTCTTTTTCCAAGGCTGTAGCTGCTAGAGATTGCAAGTTTGAACTATCTTTCTCCTCCTTGTTACGCCCTTTTGTCAGTTGTCCGATGGCAAATGTACACTAAATAACAGGAATAAGACTTTCTTTCAGTTATACAACTTGGTAATGTGTAACAAAGGCAATGAGAGAGAGAGAGAGAGAGAGAAACCAATGAAAGGCTTTCACAAAGAGAGCGAGAGCTCACCAAGCAAATACCGAAAAGTGCTCTGGTGTTCTTGCCACCAGTCAAGTCTGTGACAGACGCATAATATTTCTTAGCTGATTGAAGGTTTTCCAGACCGCCAAGTGTGTAAAGCACCTGTTGAGCCAAAAGAAAGCAAAAAAAGAATAAGTTTAATTCGTATTGTTGCAAGGATGCGAAGTAATGGACAATTATTAAAATTAAACATGTTCATTGAATTATATCCAACAAGTCTTAATGGTTTAAGTACTATTTTTTTTTCTCAAGGTTTAGATGAAATAACAAGATGCCTTAAAGGAGGGGTGTAATCGGTTTGATTTGGTTAGGTTGAGTGAAAAATTTAACACTGAATCAAATCATTCGGTTTTATTGGTGGATGAATTGAAATGACCGCATGACATTGGTTGGTTTTCCTTTTAGTTTAAAAGACGGATTCACACGAGGCTTTAAGGTTTTATAGAAACTTGTACAATACTGTATAAGGAATAAATGAAGAGAGAGTGGAAGCTGCTCTATAAATGCCTTCCTCCCTAACTTTTATTGCAAAACATGTAGCATGATGTCCCATAGGAAAAGATCTCCCTAGGGCTCATATTGGATAGTGTTTGTGGCTTTGTGCTTTTACCCCTCGGAAAAATAAGAATTACTTTCCTAGCAAACCAAATGAATTCAACAACTGCACCAAAAAAAAAAAATTGCTCCAACCCTTGGAAATAAAACTTACATCGGCATAGGCTAGGTGATACACTGGATTTGTTGGTTGAGATAAGATTAGCTCCTCGTAGCAGAAAGCTGCTTGCTTGTACCTAATTAAAAACCATAAAATGAAATGGCAAAAACAGAAGATACATAGCTAAAGCTTAAAAAATTATAGAAATTCAAAACAACAAATACAATACTTCATATTTAAGTAACTTATTTCCTATAAGAAAAAGTAAACTACAATATCTCACATTTGAAGAGAGACGTATATTTCAGCAAGTTCCCTCCAGACATCAAGATCAGCCATAAATCTGAAAATAAATAGTAAAACAAAATAAAAGAAGAACAGCTAAGTAGCCATCAAGTTGGAACATTGTTAAAATTGAAAAAGATGTGCTTTTGAGATCCTCCTCACATTTCAAGATATTTATTTAGCCCTTCAATGGCCCCTGAAAGATTGCCTTGTGCCTTTGCCATAGCTGCCCTCCTCTTATGAATTACCTGAATTAGAAGAATAAAAACGGTAGAATAAGATATCTATGTTTTGTTTTTCAATCTCCATTAGCAAGGACCATCCTATTTGTTGCATGGAAAGAAATTGAGCCATTCCACCAAAAAATAGCATTGGGTAGACCTCATCCAATAACCGTCCTAGCTCTACCCTATCTGTTGTTCATTTCTTTTGGAACAAGCACAAACACTTTTTCAATTATGAATCTACTACCAAAAATTCAATGCAAAATCTCAATATTCAATGTGTATTCTTGAATAATCTCATTTTTAAATTATTCAACCATTTCATTTTACCAAGTTCAAGTTTAGCTAAATTTATCAACATTTATATGTTTTGATGCAACAAGATGTTATTTGTAACAAGTAGTTTTGTGATCCTCATCAGTTCATGCATAGATTGGTCATTGGGGCTTTCTACGAAGTCTTTTGTGAAATTTTTTGAATGCACTTCATGAACCTGAAAACGAACTTACTTGATCCATTGAATTATCCTCCAAAAGGCTTGAATATGCTATTTCTGCCTCGGCCCAGGATCCTTTTGCTTCAAGCAACATTGCTTCTAACCTACCTGTGATATGCCAAACTTAGTATCTACAAACCATCTAAATTTAAAAGACAACAAAAAAAAATTCAATCCAGGTTATCACACTTCTTGACACCTCAAAAGCAACAAAATGAGTGAGGGATAAGCAAGAATTTATGTCAAGAATCTCGAAAACATATTCAATACTCAACATCCTTCATCACAGATAAGTCACAAAGAATTTAAAGGATTGGTAAACCATGGTCCATCTTTGCTTCTCTCTCTCTCTCTATATATACATAAATATATAGACATATGCAAATATAGATATAGTAGTCTCACAGATTAAATTATTTATTTCATTAATTTTTTGCCATTCCTTGATACAAGGGCCAAGAGACTAGGTACAAACGTAGTCTACAAGCTACAACGACTGACAAAAATTATGGCTTTGAGATTGACACTATCATACCAATGATAGTCATATGCAAAAGCTTAAGTTAATGTGCAACATGTAAATATTTTTGTATGGTTGGAATAAGATTAAGAACCATTAAAGTATAAGTTGCAAAACTTTGGGTTTCCATGCATAACTCCAATTCTTGTATGGATTCAATTACAACTTCCAAAATACCGCCATTATATAAGAAACAGTAAAATGATGTTATATCATGAATTTCAAATGGAAGTATTACTTTCATTTCATGTGTAAACAACAAGTGAGCCAAAGAAAGGGCTTGAACTATTTTCATGCTAATCAAATACAATGGGGAAGTGGAGGTCTACCCACAAGAAACGGAGAAAAGGACAACTAAAGGGGCAAGATCAACAAATATTAGACTAAAAAGCAGAAGCTCCAATCAAAACCCAGAGAACGGAAAACATATAGGTAGCGTTTGGTAGAGTTTTAGAATTATGATTTGAGAATAGAGTTGTATTTTGAGTTTGTGAGTTTTGAAATTATGATTTGAGTGTGGAAAATTTGTTTGGTTATGAGTTTTGAATTGAGTTTAAAATTTTTCATGTGACATATGATATTTGATTCAAAAACTTATAACTCATTACCAAACACACAACCTAAAATTCTATTCAAAACTCATAAAAAAAAATTAAAAAACTTTGAAAATATTTTTTTATTTAAAATATAAAAAATTGCAGGTGCCAATTTTGCCACAAAAAAAAAAAGGAAAAAAAAAAGAGAGCACTGTTTCGGTCAACCAGCCGGTTGACCGGCTGGACGTTGGGGAGGACGACCGGTTAGGCCAAATTTCAAAATTCAAAACTCCGCCTGAAGCAAGTTTGCAAAAATGGGTGTGGAATTAATTTTTGAAAGTTGTATCCAAACACCACACTCAAGGAGGGGTGTGGAATCATGATTAAAAATGCATACCAAACACAACCATACTTTTTTTCCATGTATAATTAACTTTTAAGAAATAAATATGAACCACAAACTCACGTCATGTCCTCAACAATGACCAACATGAGTGAGTTTGAAGAGGCTGCCTTCCCCATAAATAAATGCTCGTGTCATTATATAGCAACAAACTAGTTGAACTCACCAACCCTTTTGCTCCCGGGAAATTTTTTTTGCAAGACCTTTATGCAGTCCTGCAAAAGAATTAATATCATAAATTGCATCAGCTTCAAGTTCAAACTGATGATTGAATCCCATACATAATTGCCAGTCCAAACAAGACTAGGAAGGATAGAATTCTCAATTAATATGTGTGAAAGGTAGAGTTAACATTAATTGAAGATCAATTGAGATATAACAAGTTAAGATGGTTAGATCATATACAATAAAGATCTGTAAATACAAGGATAAGGAAGAGTGACGTGATCACCACAACTAGAAGTGTTACGGAAAGGAGGAGACCTAAACTAACAAAGGATGCAGTTAAAAAGGATGTGAACTTAATTAATTTAAGTGAGCATACAACCCTCTAAAAGAATGACAAAATAATTATTTATGTAGTTGACCCTATTTGATTGGGACACAATGTTTTGTTTGGTTTGTTACATGTATAAACCACCCTGGATACAATGCTTTGCTTGGTTTGTTACAGATCATTCAAATGGATAAACCGAAAGCAATTTCAGAAGGCATACAAGAAAGAAACAAAAATTCCTACCTTCGCAACATCAAGGCATTGGCAGTCCATAGCTGCAATAGCAACCTGCTCGTACAAAGTCCATTCTACACAAATAAATCAAATAAGTAATTTTTATTTTTATTTTTAAAAAAAAAGGACAAGTAAAAAACACCCATTAATATGAAGTTCTGGGTAATTAAAGAAGGGCCTTTAGCATCTAAAGAAAACCATAGCAAACTTTAGCAACTAATCACCATTTGACTAAAACCAATCACATAGTAATTTACACAATTCCAAAGCAAACAAGAGATTACATACAATTCAATCAAATATCTAAAGTACCCAATTACAGAATCCAGACCCAAATTCAAGTCAGAAGCTTTAGGTATTGGGGAGAGAGAGAGAGAGAGAGAGACCCAAATACAGAATCCAAATTAAAGACACAAATTAAAGTCAGAAGCTTTAGGTATTGGAGAGAGAGACAGAGAGAGAGACCCAATTACAGAATCCAAATTTAAGACCCAAATTAAAGTCAGAAGCTTTAGGTATTACCAATTACCCATTCCATGAATTGAAACAGAGGGAGAGACAAGTGGTGAATTTGTACCTTCAGAGCCTAGGGTAGATCGCTTGGTAGGGTCGTTCAAGATGGACAATCCGTGCTTCAAAACCTTGTCAGATCGTCGAAGCTTGAGCTTCCGCACAAGACACAGGTACTCCCAAGCCCCTCCCCCTCCATTGTCCACCTGGTTCTCCAGTCTGTTCACTTGGGTTTCCTCGGTTTTGCTCACCATCTTCACCAATTCCACAATATTCAATCTCTCTCCCCCTCTCCCCCTCCCTATATATATACTTTGTTCTGGGTGTGTGTTCTCTCTCTGTGCGGCCGGTTTTTGGATCTGTTGTTCGAGAGAGAGCCCTATATATATACTGTTGTTCTGGGTGTGTGTTCTCTCTCTGTGCGGCCGGTTTATGGATCTGTTGTTGGAGAGAGAGAGAGAGAGTAGCACTTTGTTGTCTTGTCTGTCAACGATGGAGTGGAGGCCTCAAAGCAGACCATTCGGTAACGGGCCGGTTTGTAATCTCAACCCGGACCTGGTTTCTTTTTCTTTTTTCTTCTTCTTCTTCGTAAGATGGGATTAGTTGATTTTGAGATAATTAATAATAACAAAATATCAGAGATCATCCGGTACTGAGGGTTGCTGCTGAGCAGCCCTTCTGTGAGGTCTCGTAGAGGCAATTTTTTTACTGTATTTCGATAATGGTAGTAGCTTTGGTTCAGTGTAAAATCAGATTAGATTGTGCTGTTGGGTCTGTGGAGGTCCACCATAGATTTCGTTTTGATAATTCGAACCGTTCAATGTGTAGAACTTGTCGAGTACTATATGCCTGTAAAAAATCACGTTGATTGGATATCGATAGCTATGTGAACAAAACAGTTTTTTATCAACCGTTAATTTTTTCACCGTCTATTTTTTTTTTATACAAAACTGATTTGATCACATAGCTATTGATATTCGATCAACGTGATTTTTTACAGGCATGTAGTACTCGACAAGTTCTACACATTGAACAGTTCGGATTATCAAAATGGACTCAAAAATGAGCCCCATAGGCCGAACTGGACGGGTCCAGTCTTGATCTCAACTTGAGACAAGCTGGACCCTTTGATAATCTAAATTATATATATTGTAAGATTTGTCGAGTATATCACTCATATAAAAAATTAAATTATTCGGACACCTGTAACCCTATATTAAAAAAAATATTAAAATTGTGTTAACCGTTTATTTTTTGAAAAACAAATGTGCTCTTATTATAAAGCTATAAATGTTCAATTTATTTGATTTTTTGCATGAATGATCTATTCGACGAACCTTATAATATGAACGGTTCGGATCATCAAAAAAGACTTTTCCCCCCTTGAATGAGTCTCACAACAGCGTGCCGTGCCAAGAATCCCAACTCCAATAATATAGTTTTAAATAGTTGATAAGTAATTGAAGTTAAAAATATATTAGATAATAGATCAAAAAAATTGAATGAGAATTTTAATGGGAGAATTACATATTAGTGGAGATAACAAAAAATATTTACGAAAGTAATGATAAACTTTAATAATTAAAAATTATAAATATTTTGGCATTTTAAAATTATTTTTGCTGAACTCACTGATGTGTGATTCTCTCATTCTTAATCTTACAATATTTAAGAAAATTAATAGATATTTGATAAATGTGTGTATCAATTTCTGACCACACTGCCAATCAAGTACTCAGTTGGAGAACACCGACAGAATAGATTAAGTCAGAACGACCTGTCACAAAAAGAAGAGATTCTGACGGTGGTTCGTCCACCCGGGGGCACTCCGACGATTAAGTCAATTATCTCTCAAAAATAGCAAAAGTGCTTAACTCACTATTCAGAGCATAAAAACATACCTTAGACCCATGGGGGTACCTCTCTTTTATAGCCAACACTTACCTAATACCAATAGAAGCCTAGTTTCAATGGATTTATGATTACTGCTAATCTTGGACTCCCAGTAGGATTGGGATAAACTCTTTAAGAGTCTTATTTTTATCCAAACTAAAGTCCTCTCCTATTCTAAGACTCTTGTTCCTTATCCGCTTATCCCGGATTCTGGTTTCTTCGCAAATAATCTTGGCTTAGTCGAGATCATCTCGGTGTCATGACCAAGACACGTGACACCTCGGCTGACACTTCGGTGTCACCTCGGTCACGTATTGTCATTCAAAAATTATATCCCCACAACTGCCCCCTAGGTTCTATTACCTCGGCATCCTGAGGTGATGGAACCTATATCATTTCTTTCATTTAGTACATTGGCTAAGTTCGCTTTATTCTTCATTACCGATGTCATCATTCGTCGGTTCAAATATTGTAACAACCCTCGTTACTATTTACCGATAAACACTGATTACCGTTAAACTGAATTGATTATGACTGATAATTGGACTGGTAAAAGTACTGAACTGACTGACTGAAATTGGAAACCGAATTGATTGAATATATGTTAGTTAAATTGCATTCTATCTGTTTGACTGTATGATTATCTGTTCATGCTTATATGTTTAAACTGCTAATTGAAGGCCTTATCGGCGGCCGAATTAGAAACCGATTAATGTTTTATGATCGTCATGATTAATGTGATTTTATGGTGTATTTACCTGAAAAACTGATTAGGTA